GAACGATACTAGAAAATGTAGATAGCGGTTAGTATAGGAAACGGGACATGTTTAAGATTGTTGAAGCTCGAAAAAATAAAAGTATACCTTAACAAGCGCATAGGTTTATTTACCTCTCTAACTGTGTACAGAAATTTCATATAGAATAGAAAAATAAGGAGAAGCAAAGAAATGAAGTATAGAACGAAATCACATCTTGCCAGCTTTTAGTGTTTATCGCAATAACAAAATAAATCCATTGAACGTCTGCCGAACCCCTTTTCTGCCTATATACATACTATTTGTCTTTCTTTGTTCATGTGATCCGCTTGTTTAATTAATCAGAAACCAGTACCCGATAGATCTTTTTGTATCATCCTCAAAAAGACAAGTGTTTTTAAATCATATTAAAAACAACATTCTCTCACTTTTGTATTACTCTGAAAGATGTCTTTCAATATTTGAATTTCGGCAATCATCGAATCAATTGCAAAGATTCTAATTGTGACAAATAAACACTTAGAAAGACCAAACAATAAAAGTAAATTGATTAAGACAAATAAATCCGTTCACATGCTTCAGTAGAGACAAGTCATTCCGTACACCTGACCTTGATCTACAACGGACAATGAGCCAGATTAAACATTTTACATATTTAAAATATAATAAACTTTTATTTCACCTTCATTTGTAACAGATGAAGTGGTGAACAGGATGAATATGCTTAAGTCACTCACATAATATTTCGTGTAACGCTATTGAATTATTGTTGAACTATTTATTATCCATTCGTCTGTCTGCATATCTACTGACTTCATCGCACTGACAGCTCATATTACGACAATTCATCGAACGATAAGACATACATCTTCACTCTCGATGGGTGGCGCAAGCAGCTTTCGTACTATATCATAAACAGAATCAGAACCAAATAGCATCCAGCTATCAGAATTTAAAAAATAGTTAAACATCATTCATATATATCAAAATAGCCAATATATTAGTATTACATGATGAATTATACTTAGTACATAATCCTTGCAACAGTACACAATTAAACTTTACGTGAAACATCTTTCACTAATAAGATGAAATGCATCAGAACATATCCCGATCCATTCTTAGTTTTCATTATCTTCTTAGAACAATATCAGACTTGTTTTAATGCTATAAATGACCGGGCAGAAACTACATAACATAAGGAATTATGTACTATATTGTACAGCTACATATCATCGTCATTTTACGCTTTTCTACGACCCGGGTATACACAGGCAGGCCCAACAAGTATACTGATCATCAAGTTAATTTATCGGAGCGAAAATTGTGATCTGTGTTTTTCAATAAATGTAGCACTAAGTAATCTCCTTCATTTTATTTTAAGCCTGTCGTTCCTAAATTTAAGGAGAATCCAGTCAATGGCGCTTTTTTTGTACCATGAGGAGCAATGAAATTTTGACACTTAACAACGTCTTGATAACGTTAAAATTTCTCAACACTCTAGCAAACACTTTTAGTCGCACTTTCATTGTCTTGGCTCAAGAAATCCTTGGCTCAAGAGATACGCAATGAAGGGATGACTCATCCCGTCTGTTTGAATTTCAGAAAATAGGTCTTTCTATTTTTTGTATTATTGCATTGTATAACGGCACAATCCGCTTTTTTCTTAGCAAACTCCAGCATTGATCCCGGCAAACACGGAGTTTCATTCTGTAGATAGCAATGGTTTGATGATTATGTTGATCGTTACGCACTTCAAAGGTTATGCACTTCGAACCTCGACACCATCAAGCCGTGTGATAATCTTCACCATGTCTATTATGTCTTGGTGACTTGAATCATCCCTCAATAGCGTATTTACTACGTTCCGATGCAGAATGAAGTTCTCTTGGTTAGTTTTCGTAGATTGGCGGGAAAGTTAGTGCGTGGTTAGTTAAAGAAGTCTTCCTCAAACTAGTCTCTTGTCTGAAACTGCGGTTGCTGACCAGTAACGATATAAATGACCATGTCAAAAACTTGCTAGCTGTGATGAAGATATCGGGCTGATGAAACTGACACTTGTCAGTACCTATACTGTGGCAACGAGGGTTTTCTTTCATTCTTGAACCTATTTTTTGTGAACGTGGAGAAGCTTGTACGTAGATAAGATCTTTCGATGAATACCAGAAATAGTCAGACTTTCTGGCTCCGCATTTTGGTGCTGAGATTTGATTGACTTTTCTCAGATTTTTGATCGAAACTTTCATTTGCTACTGTCTGTCTTTTCGACTCTTATTATCTGTTTCAATTTATTATTTCTTAACAAACGATAAGCAGAAACAGCTTGAAGTGTTGTTATGTTTCCACGATGTAACCCAAGCTGCTTTTCACAAATAGGATGAATTACTTGAACTCCGAGCAAGTTTCAATGAGTCCCATGAAATTTTGCTTTTTTACTCAAAGAATACCGGAAGTTCAATAGCCGTGTTAGATAGAAAAGTATTTGACTTACAGATGGAAAAGCTAGTTATTACGATATATAGTATAAGAGCAAGATTTTTTGTTGGATATTGTTTTGACCGGTGTGTACCAAAAAAATTTTGATCTTCAGAGAAACATATCTAAACATCTACAATGACATATAGCAACGGTGGGTAACAAAGGTGGAAGTATATTCGCTTCCATCACATATATGTGATTATTTCATGCAGAGAAGTTCTTTTATGATATTCTTCTCATTGGCTGTAGTTTATATATATAAACATTTTTTTTCGTTTCCGGTTGTACGTGTTGATCAAATTAAGTTAGGAGATGATTAAATACTAAATATAAAACACTGCAATGAACGTCAAAAAGTAAAAATTGCGCTGATTTTGGAGTTTATAGCTTCTGACTCATCTTCCTCCTACATGTCGTTTGACATTAGAGAATAAAAGCAAAATCAATTCAATAGTTAATTAGATTTGTCTAATTCAGTTTAGTTTTGAGAAAAAGCACGAACTAATCATAGTTTTAATACCTAAAATATGTGAAATGAAGGAAGATCAGAATATTCAACGGTATTTGACACTATTTTGTTTCATTGATGGTGTTTAGATACGAATAATGATGATTCAATGACAATACGATTGATGGTGCTTGAGTTAATTTGTGATGTAATATTGTAGTATAGGTGACATATCCGATTGTGCTGAGTAGAATCGTCGGTGTCAACAATTATATATAGTTTCAATCAATGTACTATTAATTAGATATGTTTGCTGTCTATATGTTCTTTCTTAAAGCATTTTTTGAAAATACACTGTAATACTGATCACGAAGAGGAAATGACACATAAAACAGTAATTAAACAACAATAAGTAGTAAGATCATTCATAGTAAGATCATTTATTTTAACTATATTGGGTTATGTTAAATATGCAGCATCGGTTATTTTACATGAAATATTAGCCCAGTCAACATTATACCAAAATGTCCCCTGGTCATATCCTTTTTTAAAAGAGATTCGATGCAAATCTTTGAAAACATCTCATTTTCAAGAGTAAACTCTACGGGATGAATTTCTACCATTTTGCTCCGCTTTCGTACATGGTATTTACGATACAAGTTTTTCACTTAGTGAATAATCACTAATGGGTTAACATAAGTATCGATGTACACTCAGATGATGTAAAAATGATTGTATGTCTGCAATCTCTATTTATGAATACGTAAAATACAAGAAAGAATTCACCATAGGTAAGATTGGAATGCTTGATCGTACTTTGTTTATAGTATAAGCACTATCAATTTAAACTATAATGGTGTCGTGTCGTTGAGTGTTTAAACTTTAAAAATCGTTATTTTTGTCTAAAAATCCTATTATACTTATTATATTGACATCATTGCTAGATACATAGAGATACTGATTACTTTAGTGAACAATTGAAAGACGATCAAATTCTATTTTTTTTCTCATTAGCGTTATTTGCATTAATTATTATTACTATTATTATTATTATTATTTCTAAAATCTCTCGACATTGTTACTCAATTAGTTCAAGACAAGGCTCTATGACAGACGAATAATAACGTTAAAGTGATTGAATAAAGAAAAGAATTTATTTTCAGTCTGAAAAAAATATGAATGAAATTAAGATAAATGTGTGTCTGTCATTTGAAACCGCGTTATGTAGATTTTCTTTTTTTTTTGATAAGTTAAAAACGCAGTGAAGAAAAACCGATTTAATGTTGTTGACACACATAAAAAAGCAACCATCTAGAACATATAAAGAATGTGATGGAATGGTCAGACATAATATGTTTTAACACATTTGATTTTCAACACAAAAAAAAAAAACGAGCACGGCCAACTCTTCCCACTATCGAATTCCCGAATACTGAAATATTATATTTTATCAGAATTTTCGATATCATTTGAATTTTGAGTATAAAATATATTTTAATTGTTTAGATGAAGGAGCAAGAGAGAGGTAGTTGTCAATTTTCTTTTGTTTGTAGTATTATCTGTTAAGCCGTGCTAATAATATGTTGTACGTCAACTAATTTCAAGAAGTTATAACATGATTATTTATATATAGAGAAAGAGAAATTTTAGATATACATGTCAAACACTATAGAGATGTTTGCATCCGGAGACAGAATGAATTTCTCTTTTCTCGTCTTTTTTTTATTTTGTTGCTGTTATTTCCTTCATCTGTAGTGATTGAACCGTTTGATTCAATTGCTTTTTTTTATTTTTTTTTATTTCTATATATATATATATTTAGCTAGACTATCTATCTATCTATCTAACTATATTTTTACTTCACTCTCTTCTACTTGTAAGAAGTACAAAAAAGAGACAGTAATGACATTAAATAGTTCCACCACTATATTCTCTATTCTACTAAAACATACGATGAGTGAAGAAGCAGACGAAGAAGACGACAATGCAACGAGCGATGAACGATTGAGAATGATGATATTTTATTGTTGAGATTTGTTTGTTGTTGTTATCGTTGTTAACACATCTCTTTTCTCTCTAATTGTCTTCGTAACTGATGAATGTATCTCAACAATCAAAATCCGCTGCTGATGAAATAAAATCAAAACAACACCAACCTAGTCATAAATATCGAACAGCATTAATTATTTTAACAGTTCTAATATTAATAGCTGCTGTTTTCATTTCCATTATCATTTATAAGGCATTAAAAACAGGTAAATGGCAAATTTTTTAAATAAATTGTTTTCTAACAACATTACAAATGGTCAATCAATTCACATGTACTTGCTCCTTCATTAATGTCCAGTGATATAATTTCACTTTCCATTTGCTTCTGTAATTTGGAAAGTCTCATTTCTTTTTGCTTAATATAGGAGCCGAAAAAGATCGATTTTCAAATCCTTCCGCTGAAAACGAGACAAATGATCAAAGTAAGTTTTTGATTTGTATTTCCGTTATTAGTAGTATTTTATTAAAATTATTTCAGATCAAACCGTCCAATTTCGATCTAATCAAGGTAAAAGACTTTTTTTTGCTTGTTTAGTTGTTGAATTAATGTAACTTTGCGCTTCTCTAGATCGTTCCCGTTCATTACCATCTTGTCAAAATGGAATTTGTAAACATGGAGCAACATGTACCGAACAGCGAAAATGTGTGTGCCTTTTTAATTGTTCAGAAACAGATAGGGAACGTGTTTGTGATCAAAATGGAGATATTTATAAAAATCAATGCTTTTTCGAACAATCAAAATGCAAACATAGAAAGGATACTCATCTAATAGACGCTAAAACATGTCGTGAAAAACTTGGTAAATTTATCATATTAAAATTTTGATTTGTTTATATACATCACTATGATTTAGGTGCTATGCGATCGTCTTGTTCGTCGATGACATGCTTATATGGTGGATCATGTGAAGAGAAGATAGATGAAAATGGAGCATTATATGGAGAATGTATATGTCCAGATAATTGTAATGAATATGTACGTGTAACTATCGACGATAAATCGGTGTGTGCTACAAATAATGAAACATACAACAGTTTGTGTGAATTAAATAAAGAAGCGTGTCAACAACAACAAAATTTTACATTGGCTTATTATGGAACGTGCGGTAAGCATAGTTAACAGTCACATACTTAATCTAAGAAAAATTCTTGCATTCTCTCGTTTATCATTCATTTTAGATCCTTGTCGTGATTATTTGTGTACATATAATTCAGAATGTGGTATCGATGCCGATGGACAACCGCAGTGTAAATGTGGTCGAGAATGTTCAACAGAATATCGTCCACTGTGTGCCAGTAATTATCAGATGTATGATAACGAATGTGAAATGAATAAATACGCCTGTCAAATGAAAATTAAACTACACAAAGTAAATGATGGCCAATGTAACAGTGGTAAGAACAGTTCATAAAGTCTTATGTGACTTTTAGCAGAAAAAGATAGTGACTCAGTTCATCAAAACTGTATAATTATCGAATCGTTTTTACCGTCGTATAACTCATATCATTTCACGGTGAAAAAAACGATTCTTTTATGACTTGCTGAACCGCTTTATCACCGTATATTAGAAGAAATGCTAGTTTTAGTTAATTAATTACAATATACTGTTTTTATCATTGTTTAACTTTTTAGTCTCTAGTACTACTTTATGAACGTTACATGTTTAATACCAATCTCCATACGGATGTCTACTTTCTCAAATCAGATTTCTATGATTTGTATTTTTACGAAATGAAAATTTCAATTAACCAAAACAGTCCGTTTACGGTCATAAACCAGTAATAAAAATGACCATGTATTAATAGAATTAGCATGGTCCACGAAACGTTTGTAGACCGTTAATTGACAGTAAAACAATAACTGATTAACGGTCGCTCGTAAACCGTCTTTTAAATGATCGTTAACGGACCGTGTCGATTGAGTTGAATATTCACTAACATCACAGAAAAATCTATTTCTCTGAGATAGTGAAGTATACGTTGATTCGACTCTAAATCTGAGAAATTTATATACCAAGAGTGTATACAGTTACACATTTTAGCACTATAATTATTTATCCTAGAATAAGTCTCGTGTTTTTTTATTCTTTAAAAGATGATTAATATGTCTAATCTATTGATTATTTTCTGTCATTTCTTATATCATCATCCTTCACTTTTAATATTAGATCACTTAACGTATCGAATGAAGAAGAGCGCGAAGAGAAAACTTTGTTTATTCGGACAAAGGAAAAATCGAGAGAGAAAAACGGTCTCAACTAATTTGCATTAATAACTTAGACTTATGATCGACGACAATCAGTTTCTATTATTAATAAGAAAAGAAGAGAAAAGAAAAAGTCACTTTGTATGATGTTTTATTTAGCAGATATATATATAAAAGTAGATAGACTAGAAAAAGAAACAAAAATCAAATTTATCGTTCACTAAATGTGAATAAAGATCATATAGAGATCTCGACATGTATACGAAAATGAAGAGAAAAGAAAAATTGAACTATTTTCGATTATAAGAATAGTTCTCAAAAAGCCATGATGCAATATATTCTTTTCATTCAACTAATTAATTGCTTATATTAATGATTATCACAAATATCTTCAAATTTGTAATGTACAAGAATTTATTAAAAAACTTGTATTCACCAAAAACTTTTTCTTGGTGTAGAAAAAACTTTTAATACTTCATGTATTTTTATATCTTGAGGAGAAAAAACAAATGTGCATGCACTCTGTAGAATAAATTATCTTGGGAATTCGTTCAATAGTACTGTTTTAAATGTTTCATTTAATATCAGTTAAATAATGTTGATGCTGAAAATCTGTTTTTCTCAAATGGTATAACCGCATTTTAGAAGTAGAATACTTGTAGATCGAGGCCGATGAACTCTTCTTTCGTGTTCAATACGTACAATATATTTTATTTTAGCGTGTATTAATTTGAGATGTATGGTCGGTAAAATATGTGTGTATGAAAATGGCATTGCCAGTTGTCGATGTCCACAAAATTGTACGCATGATGTATGTGTAATAGAGTCTAAATTTTGTTGAATTAAGAGTAGAATTATTGATAGAAGATTTTCTTTTTTAGATTGATAATCCCGTATGTGGTTCTAATCGTATTATATATCGTAATCAATGTGAAATGGAACGTGTTTCATGTGAACACGGCGAGACAATATATCCGATAGAACTGGAAAATTGTAAGTTTGATTCAAGTCTATATTTACTATGTGCAAATAACAAATCATTCTAATTAATATAAGTAAACTTTAGACTAATTGTAGCAAGAGAGAAAGATAATCACAGACAGGTAGTCGTTTATTTGACGTAATAAAGCAAACAATGCATAAATAATCAAGAAAACTATTAACAAATACCCGGAATAAAATATGTACCAAAGATAGAGATGAAACGTTTCAACACAATTTCTTCCCATTGGCTGAGAATGTTAATCGCCTCTTCATTCTAAGGTTCGGAGGATTCATCTAGTATTCACTATTTGTAAATAGTTACTATCTTGGATAATATTCTCTGTATTTTTTATCTTCGATTATTAGAAGAAGTTAGAAGTACAAAAATTCAAGATTTTGTTCTCATACCATCGCTTCTGTTCTAGGTGTCAATTCGTGTGAAAATCTTCGATGTCCCTATGGTCAATGTAGCGTCAAAAACGGTTTAGCTTCATGTGATTGTGCTGAATGTTCATCAGAATTTGCAGATTATACACAAGAACAAGATTTAATATGTGCTGATAATGGTTATACGTACACGTAAGAGAATCAATTATATATACTGACCCATTTTTAAGATGAATGAAATGAATATCATTTTCTCCCCGTAGATCACAATGTCAACTAGAATTTGACTCGTGTACAAAAAATTCGTTAATATCACCAAAACATGCTGGTAGATGCAACAATTGTTGGGATGTTCGGTGTCCTTTCAATGGTATTTGTCAAACAATACAAGGAAATTATACATGTACATGTAAACCAAGAGAAGAATGTCAATGGGTAAGTAAAGACTTCATGTTAAATGTTGTGTTCTGACCATTATCTCTCAACAGATTGACAGAAATCCAAATTATCGTGTATGTGCAAGCAATCGTCACTACTATTCAAATCAATGTGAAATAGATGTGGCATCATGTGAACTACAAACAGAATTATATCTTGTTGATCAACGTTATTGTGGTAAGTTTCAAAATATTATAGATCTCTTTGCTTCAACAAAGTGTACCACTGTCTGTTCATGAATGACAATCCATTTAGAAATAAAATATCATTGAACTATTTTTGAATAACATTTTTACAATGGCGAGAACTCTGTAGTTTACGTCAATGAAACCCAACATCTGACTATGTATTTCTGCGCAAAAATAGAATGAAAAAGGTTACTGTGTCCGCGAGATGATAGTTGGAAAACTTACCCGTTTCTCAAGGAAAACGAGAGAAAAAGAGATCTATTGATCTTTTTGCAGTTGATTATCCAGGACATATTATGCTTAAGAAAACTGATTCAAATTAAAACTGAAATTTTTTATTCTATAAAATTATTACCTTGTAAGTATAAATGACAGAAATATTGACTAAAAGTGAATTTGTTTTCAACAAAGTTTTTTAATAGAGATCTGCTTAAAAATTACAAGATAAAAAGATTTTACTTTACTTTTATCGATCAACAATCATCTACACTCGATAAAATTAGATTAATCTTCAACTTGAGATAGTTTATTCAGAATGGATCTACGATCACTATGACGAATCATGCTGGCAAAAATCTTTATGATTTTCTTCTTGATTTTCTATGAACAGATGAGTTGTGAAACAAAACTTTTAGATGAAACTAAATATTAAAGACTGCTTATCGAATTATTTGTTTCATAGCTGTGGAAAAACTTTAATTTCAAATTTGATTTTTCTATCTTTCGAGTGACTAGTTGCCATCAGCGATGGGATCGGTTTGGAGTTTTCAGGAAACTAACCGAACCAAACCGGAAAAAAGTCGCTGAAAATTACTGTTCTTTCCTTTTTTCGAGCATGCTGTTTATTAAGCAACGAAGTCTACCTGTGTATTATGGAATTTTTTTCTATTCTAGCAAAATAACAAAAAAATAGAGTACTTATTCTTGTAGTGACTGTTTATGTTTTTTATATGAATTCTTAAGTATTATGTCATCAACATGTGTGTATCTCGTTGAAGAAGCAACGATTCCAAACATTCTCTTTAGCGCCTATATAAAAAGATGGTACTTTAATACCGTAAAAAGAATTCTAGTCAAACAGACTATTCAAACCGAACCGAACCGAATAATTTTTTCAGAAAGCCAGGGCCGAACCGATCTCGGTTCTGGTTGCTATCATCCTTTCTACCTCTATATGCTCTCACCAGTGATAAATCTAATCACAGTTTATACTACGCAGATTGTACTATGCGAATACTATGCGATTAAAGTTGAGTTTGGGTGGAATAGGATGCTGTTAAGATCCATGAAAACACACTAAACATATTATCTTTCTCTGAAACATACTGTCAGTAGTTTTTATTAACACAAACGATTTCATAAGATTGAACGTGGTCGACTACCTATATTTCATGCATTTTCTAGCTTTCCACGAGTTATCGCATATCAGTGCTGATGCGCACAAGAAATCTGCAACCATATTTTAACGGTCTCAGATGCAGTCTTTGCTTGACTTCCATTTTGAAAATAACAATTGGGGTTACGTATGAAATATAAAATGATCAGTAGATCCCTATTTCTTTCTTTTTTCCTTGAGAAACGGGCAAGTTTCCTAACTATTGTCTCGCGAACACAGTAACATTTTTCATACTATTTTTGCGCAGAAAAACATGGTCAGATGTTGGGTTTCAACTGACGTAAACCACAGAGTTCTCGCTATTTCAAAAATTTTATTCAAAAAGCATCTGATATAGATAGTGGGTTTATAAGATAATATTTTTTTCAGAAGAACAGTTAGAATATGGCAGTGCACAGTGTAATGTCAGGGAATGTGGCAGATATTACGGGCGATGCATTGATGATGTGTGTACATGTCCTGATTGTACGAGCGTAACTGAACGAGAAGAGATGTGTGCTACAAATAGACAAACGTACGATAATCGATGTTTAATCGAGAAAGAATCTTGTGAACACAAAGTGAAAATTGAACCAGAACATGTTGGACCGTGTTCAGAAGAACCTGATTGTAAGCGATAGGAGAGCTGTAAGTTCGAAAGTTATTAACAATGTCTGGTTTAACTATAGATCTGATGAAAAGCGAAGCATGTGGTGCAGATGAACCTGCCGCCAACCTAACAACAAACTATTATATTGAGTGTAATGATGGTCAATGCCCACTGAACAGTTATTGTAAACGAGATACAAATATATGCTGCGTGAAGGGTACTGTGATCATTAAACAAAACGGCCATATAACTATTCATTATATATTCTAGTAATAACAGCATTAGTTCCCTATAAACTGTGCATAAATGATTCTCATTGTGGTACAAATATGGTTTGTCTTAGTGGTATTTGCGAATGTAAAGAGCAAAGTTATTTACCAGCATTAAAAAAACGAGAATGTTGTACGTATATCCGTTTGACTTTTTTTACCACCTATTAAAAACAGAATAAAAATCTAATGCATAACTGGCATGTAAAATTTTGCATTCAACTCTCTTTTGTATTTTTAGTTAAACCACTTCAGTCAATGAATTCATCGTGCCACTATTCACTTTTTGGTTGTTGCAGTGATGGCGTAACCCCAGCTCCTGGTTATGAAAAACGTGGATGCCCTGGTATATATTTCTCGTTCATCTGATGTTGCGTATTTATATTTTAACTGATGTTTGGTTCTAGAACGTTGCGCTTGTAATCAGCATGGTTCATCTGCCTCTACTTGCGACCCTTACAATGGTGTTTGTTACTGTAAACCTGCTGTCGGTGGTCCTACATGTTCAAACTGTGAAAATAATTATTGGGGCTTTTCTCGTTTAATTTCAACCAATAATACAGGATGTATACGTAAGTGACTTTGACCGCATCTATTGTATATCTTTGATTATGATTCTTCTTTTCAGCCTGTGGTTGTAATCCGTTCGGATCTGTTCGTCAAGATTGTTTTCAAGGAAATGGATCTTGTGCATGTAAACCGTATACAACTGGAAGAACATGTGACAAATGTAAAGAACACGGTTTAGCCTTAACAGAACATGGATGTGTTGATCGTAAGTAGATGGCGTATCGAACGTTAAGTTCTATCTGTAAAATTCAAATGCTCAGTAATCACTTGATGATGATAAATCGTTTTATTATCAGATTTTAGTTTCATACATTTTTTGGTATCTCTACTATTTTCAGTTACCTATATGATGACACATCAACGTTCATGTCGAGATATACAGTGTAAATATGACAGTATTTGTCAGTTAGAATTGGGTCGACCCGTGTGTAAGTGCGATATATATTGCAATGAAGAAGATGAAAGACCAATGGACATCTGTGCATCGGATGGAAGGACATACTCATCCAAATGTCAAATAAAAAGACAACAATGTCGAAAACAATATGAAATTATTCCTATATATCCAGGGGTCTGCGTTGGTAAGTATCACCATGTACATTTGCCTGTTAGGTGAACGCTGAAGTCTTTCGGCGTTTGAACCATTTTAAACGGTTTATTAATGCTTTTCAGGATTAGAGTCATCGTACTGATGACGAAACAAGATTAAAAATTTTTGAGTTTCTTTTTGAAAAAAATTTCTGTTATTTCAAAATGGGAGCTAAGCGACCCCTTAATTTTTCGTGGTTTAGGCGTGCCATCAAATTTTCTCGAAGCCCCAGGATCGATATTTTCCTTAGGTACGGTAACCTTGAAAACGGATGAAAACATAGGTAATCAACCACACTCAGTCTCGTGACAACGTTTGCTTTTCAAGAAAAATCCCAAAACCTAGTGAAAATCTAGATTTGGTGAAATATCCTTTTTTTTAACTATTTTTGTGTAAAAATTAGAATATTCATTACTCACGAGGGAGCATTCCCAAGTGTATCAGCGCTTTTTCCTCGGTACATACATGACTATATGTAATTGGGGATGCTGATTCCGAATATTATAGTCGTTTCTGTCCAAACGGCTTACGAGATTCAGTTTTCTGGAAAACCAGTTTTTGAGAAACTCTAAAAAAGTAACCAAAACCTTTCTTAATGAGGCAACGCTTTTTAAGCGAAAATATCGGATTTTACTAAGTCACAATTCACTTCTTTTTTACTCTCATATTTTTGGAAAATGTCCGCACACTTTGTAGTGAGTGTGTGCTTACTTTTTCGAAACTACAGACTATTAATATTAATAATTATTTCAGCAACTGATGATGAACGACGTGAATATCTTACCGACGACGATTATTCAACGACAGAATATCATCCAGCTCTGATAGAATCAAGTAGGTCTATTGATTGTAGAATAAAACATTTTCGGACTTCAATTACTTTTTTTTTTAAGAACGTTGCGTATCAAACTATGATTGTGGTGAAAATATGGTTTGTTTATCCGATTTTTGTGAATGTGCCGATCAAAAATATCATCGAAAATCCGGAACAAAATGCGTTCGTAAGCGCATTAGTGTTGTTCGTATTGTAATTAATGTTGTTTTTGTATTTATGTGATGTACATACAAATTTTACAATCAGTATTTAGATTTTGAACGGTATGCGAAATAATAAGATTCTACAGTATCATAACTGAATTTTTTTCAAAACTACTCGATTCAATTATACCATCTTCATAAGTAACTGGTTCTTTAGTTAACGCAGATTAATCTTTGGTTGATGTTGTAAATTTTCTTATAAAGATTCCATCCATGTAACTTGGTATGTTAATCATTTTGTATTTATTTTAGTTGCAAACAGCTCCAGTCCCATACGTAAGTATCTTTTGAATTTGAAATTGTTAAATGAAATCGTCTATATTAATTCGAAATCTTTAACTGAGATTGTGTTTAAGTTTCATTACTGAAATAATGTAATGATAACTTCTCATTTAGTAAATCCTGTCCGTCGGACAATAGTTGGTGCATGTACCAGACGTACTCCATGTGAAAATAACTCCACGTGTCAAGACAAACCAAATGGAAATTATATTTGTCTATGTGGATGGCAGTGGCAGGGACGACACTGTGAAGAAAGTAAGAACTCATTTGTCTTCGAATCAGATTAACTTTAACTAATTCTAGTATTTTATTTTTAGGATTTCAGGTAACAATTCCTCGATTTAATGGTCATTCATATTTTGAACTAAAATCATTTGAAAATATTCGACAATTAAAACTTGACTTGATATTCGAATCCAACCGTCTCGATGGTCTTATTTTGTATTCCGGTGATGCTGAGAAAATCTCAGAACATTTTTTTATGATTGCTTTAAGAAATGGACAAATTGATATCACGTATGTTTGTCATTTTATTTGAATTCTTTTTTCACAAACTATTCTCTATCTTTCCTTTAGAATACGCGTTGACTACATGACTGAACCAATACAAATATCGCAACTAATTCGCATTAATACATATGTTCATCTAAAAATAATAATATCAAATGGTGAAATCAAAGTACAAATAAACGATGGAAATATTACATCAAGTAAGTTTTTTTTTTCGAACTCTTATAATAATATTTTATTGTTCTAATTTTAGAACTGTTACCATTTCATAAAAAGCTTAATCAGTTCAGTGTAGTCTACTTGGGTGCATTACCAGATTCGCTAAGACGGTAGATATTTTTATCTATTATTGTCTACATGAAATGTGAATTAATTTCTTTTCTTTATCTTGAAGAGTATATGATCAACTTCGTCTACGATCTGGTTTTGATGGCTGTATTCAAGAATTTCGAATTAATAATCGTCTTATGTTGTTTAATAGCACACAGCATAATGCCATATTAAGTGCACAAAATATTGGTAAGCTACATTATTATGATTATTTAATTAACTTTTTAGAAGTCTATTGTGGCTGTGGATAGTTTTTTGAATAACTTTTGCCATTAAAAGGTTGGAGAACTATGACTTTCAAAATGGGAGTCAAACGAACTCTTGATTTTTCACCGTTTAGACATAACATCAGATTAGTATTGTGACATTTTTTCTTTTCTAATGAAGATTGAAAAACTTAGTGAAAATCGATTCAAACCACGTAGTAAAATTAGTAGTAAAGAATCAACGAAAGATCGAGCCTATGAAAAACATTTCTTTGCATTTTTTTGCCTCATCATCATAGTAAACACTCAAACTAGGTATTTTCTGAATTTTTAAGATATTTTGAATCGATTTTCAACATTAAACATTTGATTTAGTTTGAGATATAAATATTTTAACATTCATTGGATTTAGTCTACAATTGCACTTCACTCCCATTCTGAAAATTAAGTTCCCTAGCCCCTTAATGCCAAAAGTTATTCCGAAAGTATCCTGAATATATAACAATAATATATTCTCTTGTAATGTATCTATGATTTATTGAAATAAACATCGTGAAAATGTCTGAGATAAGAAAATAATTTCTACTTTTTTCTATAGATGAATGCCATACAAATCCTTGTCGTCTCGCTTCTTGTCGTCATGGTGCTAAATGCGTTCCGATTCGAAATATGCATGAAGGCGGCGGCCATCATAGAAAAAATAATAATTTTTCTTCCAATCAACAGAACTATCGCTGTTTATGTCCTCACGAATTTCACGGTACAAATTGTGAATATGTATACGATTCTTGTAGTTCAAATCCGTGCAGATACAAATATGAACAATGCATTAATATTTATCCATCAAATCACACCTGTATTTGTTTAAATTGTAGTCAAGGTTTGTGTTCTTTATTGTTTTAAAGTAACGGCTAAAATACATCTTTCTTTATGCTTAGATGAACCATATGTTGGTGAATTTTCAAAACAAAGTTATATCAAACATCCTCCACTCAAACCAAAAAATGGTGGAGAATTTCTGCTAGAATTTTGGTTTTTGACCCAAGAATATAATGGTATGAAATTTAGAATTGTATTAATGAAAGTGCATGCTAGTCTTTTTCTTTACAGGTATCTTATTATACAGTGTTGGAATTCAAGAAAAGACCCATCTTCTATTACATTTACAAGGTGGATTACTTACGTTAAATGTACTATTATTAACACAGACAATTGCAATTAGGTAAATAGACGGTGACGATAATTAATTTTTTATGAAATGGATAGCTAAACAATTATTTTTTTCTTTTTTTTCTAGATCCCGTTATCCTGTTGAACTGCTGAAATGGCATCGATGTATACTACGAATATATGGTCAAAAATTCTCATTATATGTTAATAATGAAGTACCTGTAGATGGTTATGCTATATTTGCAAAAAGTGCCTTATGGCCAAGAAAACCAACATATTTCGGAGGAGTTCCCCAAGGTAAATTATCAGATGAATTACATGGTTTACATGGAGCTATTCAAAAAGTAAGTGTCTATTGAGATAGTATCAAATTTAATATGTAATGTTACTTCTTTCTTTAAGATAATCCTGAATGGTAAACCATTAATTGATATTCGTCAAAATGCATTAGAATTATCTAACGTAACACAATATCGCAAACATCTATGTTATCCAGACAAATGTATTAATATGAAAGAAATTTGTTTTAACAATTATGCAGATGATAGACTTTGTCAATCAACAAGTAAATTGGTCATTAATATTGTGTTCTTTGAATAAATGTAATAATATTTTCTTTTTCAGATTCAGATTTTCTTTCGTCCACTGTACAACCGTATGATGCAGGTAAAAAACAATAAGTTCTCTAATTTATTTTTCTTAAAAATGCATGAAATCTTTCTTTAACTGTTTAAGTAACTTCAAAAAAAAAAACTTCTTCTCCAGTTTTGTTCGATGGAACAACTAGTTTAGTGTACTATAATCGTATTAAAGATCGGTAATTATCATTATCATTATCAATCATACATGATTTTCATCATTCTTTTTCATTCATTAAGAGCATTATCTCAATCTCGAAATTATTTTAATTTATCATTAAAAACTCATTCGTTATTTGGTCTCATTTTTTATATTGGACAATTGTATAATACACAGTCCAATTTGTATGATCGTTATTTAGCATTAAC